GTCTTAGTAGGCTACGTCACTTTATTAATGCGAACTCTAAAATCTAACTTTTAAATGTAACTAAAATAAAATGTAAATGACTTGACTTGTTGCAGTGAAATTCAAAGCGTTGGCTACAATTACGAATGCATACCTCCTTTAAACTTCTCTGGAGTTCTTTGGCCTCTTACTTTTGTCAGATTACATCTTTGAACATTATGGCGTGCTTGTCTCTGCTCTAGCACATTTTGTAATTTTACGGTACTTAAATTAATTGACTAAAAAAAGAAGAACGAATTTATGGGCTACTTCCGACCCCACATCTTCCGGCCTTGCTAAAGCTCTTTGTCGGTAATAATTTGCCCTGTGAGCTTTATAACTTCGGCTGCGGCCTATTGAAACGATACTATTTTCACTTTTTGCGGGGTTGTAAGTGCAAGCCAACTAACAGGAGGTGTAAAGTGAGCTGTGCTTAGCCAGCGATGCGTCATTTGTTATAGATTCATCAGATTGCTACGGCAAAACCACAACATATCTCTTCCTGCGCTCATTAGCAGAGACGGAACCTTTAGAGAATTTCGTTAAGCGGACATGCCATCCAGTACGTTCATAATTCATATGCCTCGAAGACTGAGTCTCACAAAGAAATGAAAGGTAAGACGAGAAATTTCCCATAGACTTGACTGATTCTTTTTTTGCATACTTTAACATTTGACTTTGTAATAATAATAAAACGGAAACTAACAAATGTCGTGTATTTCAGAGATTTGTTGATATATTATTGATAATAAATTATATCGATGCATTATTTTTTCTTGAGCATTCGTAATTATGCCCACGTGGTCAAGATCAAGTAAGTAACTTGTCGGCCCATTTCATTCCTTCCAGAAAGCTGTGCTAAATTATGAGAGTATGATTTTAATTGAGATTTGCTTCAGATAATCAACATCATATCTACAGTTAGGCTTATTTTCTACAATATATTTCTACGGAATGGCTCTCATGGCCACACCCAATTCTTTGATTTTCGACGCAAAGGGAGGAAAAGCGCAGTATACACTAATTAATTCAAGTCAAACAAATCTTGTTTACAAACTTAAATGTAACAACTATGTCAATTACAAATTCAGCATGATGGAGGGTTACATCGGCGCAGGGGACAAGCAGAACATTGAAATCACGCGTACAGTAAGTCCGGCAATCACATACATTGCATCAGTGATAAAAGCTGTGCCAATTCCAGAAGGGGCCTCCCGGAAAGGATCTTTTCTTCCTGCACTATGCAGTTGCACCGGAAGGTTCTAAGAATCCACAAGAAGTGTGCACCTACGTGAAACCTATTGCAACAATATTTGTGGACATGTACGCTTATTTGTGATTTTTGCATAAACCACTGTTGTAAGGAACTAATTAGTGCACGCAATTTATACATTTGTAGACGACAGTAAAAATGGTGCAGAAATTATATTTATGCGTAAATTTATTGGTATATAAAAGTTAACTACAAGAACCAAGTGCTCTGCTTTCACGGCCCGAAATCTTTAATCGTCCATCACTTTAAGCTTTACTGTGATTTGCAATAGCACTAAGGAGGTCAGAAAAGACATAAAAAATGATTTTGATTTAAAAGGTTCTATGCTAATTGTGGATATTCTCTTTTTTACTAACGACGTCTTCAGATGCAGAGCAAAAAGAACTAAGAAGTTGAATGCTTGTAATTCTTACTACACATAAAACATTAGTGTTGCATAAATATGTTATTTTGGCATGGAATGCTCCAAATGCTCAAAACTTGC